GATGACGTGGTTTTTGGTGGTGTTCACCTAATTCTCTATTTGTGGTGGTGGTCTTCACATAACTGCAGTGTTGAGGTTGGTGGTGGGATTCACATAACAGTGAAATGTGCTATGGTATTCAAGTAACTGTAATATTCATGGTATCCACATCATTTTGCAGCATGGGTGTGTGTGTGTCTAACTCTGCAATGGTTTTGCTGACAACAGTCACATACCTGTGATACTGATCGTGGTTCACCTAACACTGCGACGTTGATGGCAGGGGGTTTACCTAGTTCAGGGGTGTTCGTGGCTGTGTCCACATTGCTCTATCATGTCATTCTCCGATAGTGATGGAGGTGCTAGTTACATAATTTTGTGGTAGTGGTTGTTTTCATCTGTTCTCTGTTCTATAATAACTTAATATCACAGATTGGTTAATTTATAAAGAATAAAGAGGTAATGGGCCAGCAGGTGGTGTGGTGGCTAAGGATATTGGACCCCCACATGGCCAACCACGGTTCGAGTCCCGGACCTGTTGGCTTGCTTGCTTGCTTTCTTTCTCTCTCTCTCTCTCTTTCACTCTGTCCCTCTCTGGTCACATTAAATTAAAAAAAAAAAAATAAAGAGGTATTAAGCACATGATTTGGAGTCTAAGGTCAGGGGGCCATAGTTGTAAGGGTCTTTTTGTTGGCGGGGACTCTCTGCAGTACCCTGAGGAATCACACAGGAGAGAGTAGAGCTCATATCTGTGCCCGTGTCTGTGTCTGTACTGGCACTGGCCTCTCTCCTTCTTATTAGTCACTGATCATTGGAACCCCATCCTGACATCCTTATCTAATCCTTATCACCTCCCAGAGGCCCCACCTCTTAATCCCATAGTCAGTATAAGTTTCACCGAAGTTACAACCAACTTTCAACACATGAATTTTGGGGGATACAAATGGCAGTGCTTTTTCTTGGTGGTGTTCACCAACGTGACTCTGACATGGTCATCAGAGTTTTCACAAAACTGAGGGGTTCATCGTGGTGTTGACATAATTGTGCATCAGTGTTGGTGGCGTTCCCATAAACCTGCCTCGGTTGCCACGGTAGTCACATGACGTTCCAGCATAGAGTGCTGTGGTATTTCTCTAACTGAGTGGATGTGGAATCACATAACTTTGCCATGTTGGTTGTGAGCGCAACATAGCTCTCCATGGTAGTGGTTGTTGACATTCACACCGTTCTGTCACATGGGCCATCATGGAACTCACAATACTCTGTGATGCTGGTCAGGGTCATATCCATATCACTCAGGAATGTGGGCTGAGTTATTCTAATTCACTGCAGAGTCGTGTCCACCACCGTGGTTTGGACGTGACTGCGATGATAGCATGAGAGTTAGCATTCAGCCACGTCTGGGATTCAAGTTATTCATGTCTTCTGTGAAGCGAGTGCAGGTGCTATTCTACTGCTGCAGGCCTGACCGCCATACAGCTGTCACGGTGCTGATGCTGTTCAGATAGCTCTGTGACACGGGGCAGGGTTTGTGGTGGTGTTCTTACAACTGCCCCTGTGGCTGTCTATTCACATAGCTCTGGTGCTGACTGTGGTTGTCATATAATCCTGTACCCTCCGTGATGATGGTGCTCACAGCTGTGCATGTTACTGTGACACAATCGTGTGAGTACGTACAGCTCTGTGCCATTGATCACGAAACCCACACAGCCCTGAGAGAGTGGTATTGAGTGGACTTACATAACTCTGCAACTGTTCCGGTTGCATTAGTATCACTACCACGTGGTTGGTGTTAGGTTGGTGCAGAACTCTGTAAGACAGCTCATGGTACTCACAGAATACCATGATAGTGGTAGTCACAGGTTGTGAGATTTGAATTGCTATGCGACAGTGTATGTCACTGTATTCACATGACACTGCAGCTTTGATGGAAGTGGGTTCACGCATTCTGTGAGAGCTTTTATAGTGTTCACCTACCTCTTCTACAGTTTTCATGGCCTCGTGCAACATCTACCTTGTGTATGGCGGTGGTGGTATCATGCATGTGGCTCTGTAGCTTGGTCACGGTGTTTGCATGGCTCTGCAGTGATAGTGGTACTGCCATTAACATACCACTAAGGCAATGGTGGTGTTACTCATGCAAATCTGGGACAGGCTAGCCACATTGCTTGGCTATTGGTGGTTGTGGTATTTGCACAACTTGGCGGTGCTAGTCGTGGTATTAGCGTAGGCCTGTAATGTTAGTGATGGTGGAATTGAAATAACTGTATTGGTGGTAGGGTTTTTTTTTTCTTTTTTAAAGTTTGTTATTTTTTAAATAATTATTTATTTAATAATTTTTAGTATTATTATCTTACTTTTAAAATTTTGCTATAGGACACATTTGCTCACTAGAGAGAGAGAAAGTGAGAAAGCAAGCTGCCAGGTCCAGGACTTGAATTGCAGTTGGCCATGTGGGAGTCCAGCGCCCCAACCACCACAACACCTTTTGGTCCAAGTTTCTTTCTTTCTTCTAGGAGAGAGAGAGAGAGAAGTAGAGAGAGTGAGAGAGAAGAGTGATAGGTACCCCCAACAGGATCCCCATGCTATAACCCACCCCGCAGTCGGCCCAGGTCATAAGCATGCACACCTAGCATGTTCAGGAAGGCCCAGAAAGTGAACCTTGGGCCTTCCCAGGGGGTCCAGTTGTGCTATCACTGTGCCAGCATCCAGCCCTGGGGGTAATATTTTCTTGACTGCCACGGCAGTGTGGTCTTCCGTTATTCCCTGATGATGGTGGCAGTGGTGGTCAGCCAGCTCTGTGGCAGTGTTAGATGTGGCAATCCCTTAACTCAGGGACTGGTAGGTTGTGGTCCTCATATATTTCAGTGACAATGGTAGTGGTGTTTGGGTAACCCTGCCATGGAGGTAGTGGTGGTACCCATGGAACTTTATAATACTGCTGGTGATATTTAGATAACATTCACATACATCTCTGAGTTGTAAGTTCGTGGTAGGCACATAACGCCGCAGCAGTGGTGGTAACTCCATCAATGTAACTACAGTGTTGCTGGTGGTGGTTCTCTTCTCCTTCTTCTTCTTCATCTTCTTCTTCTTTTTAAGAATTATTCATTTAATTTTGTTTATTCACTTACTTATTTTCATTTGACCAGAGAAAGACAGACACACAGAGAGAAGGAAAGTGAGAAAGTGAGCCACCAGGTTTAGGTCTCAAACCGTGGTAGGCCACGTGGGAGTGTCTAGCGCCTTAACCACCGCGCCACCTGCTGGCCCCTGGTGGTTCTCTTCTCACAATGCGGTGTTCGCTGTAGTTATTCACCCAGCTCCACTACTTTGGTGGTGGTATTCCTGTAACTCTGTCGTTACTCATGTTAATAAATGTGCATCCGCGGTGATGTGGGAGCTCTTCCATACAACTCTGCAGTGATGGATGTGGTATTTGCGTAACTGTGATGTCGGTGGTGGTAGTCATTCCTCCGTGACTGTAATACGCATGGGTCTGTGGTGTCGGCTGTCGTCACGTTCTCTGCCACGTTGATGGTGGTCTAGTTCCCATATCTCTGTGACATCATGGTGTCCCCGCAGCCGTGATGCTGGTGGTGGTGGTGTTCAAGTACCGAATATGCTGGTGGCTGTGCGGTGGTGGAGGTCATAGTCACATTGATGAGCTCAGAGACTCATAGTCAGAGAAGTTTAAAGCTTGCTTGAAGTTATGTAACAAGACGTAGCAAGGCCAGGCTTAAACACAGGTTTTCTGCTATTTCAAATGCAGACTTTTCTGTACCATACCGCCAGGGCTCTCTCCCTGCTAAGGCTAAATTTAAAAGCACTTGTCTGAAACATCTGTACCTTCAAACTCCCCAAGGCCTTTGGCACATAAATATTGTGTCTAGTTATTTATCTGTAACTTATGTCCATCTATTCCCATACACATATATATTTTCATATGTGAAACTGATCAAAATTTAGATGTATAAATTTGAACTTCTGAAAAATTTTGTTAAAAAATGCAGAAGAGGGCTTTCTGGTAAACCCAAGTAAAATGCCTTTGAGGGCAATCTGTAATGTATTCATAGAACCCAAAATATATTCACAAGATAATGAAGTTTAGTGTTGATGAACGTGTTGGTCATTTAGAATCTTCATTCACTCTTTAAAAATGGGGGCCAGCAAGTGGAATGGAGGTTAAGGTGTTGTACTCCCACAAGGCTGACTGTGGTTCAAGTCCTGGACCTGGCAGCTTACTTTCTCACTTTCGCTCTTTTTCTTTCTCTGTTCATCTCTGGTGAGTGCATGTGCCCTATAACAAATTAAAAATAAATAAATAAATACAAATTTATGAAAAGGATCAACCTGTAGCTTTGTAATATACTAGAAAAATGATGATGGGGTCCGAGTGATGTTTCACAGCAAATATATGTTTAAAGTATCACTGAAATAGGGAACCAGCAGTTAGCGTAATGGCTATGTCACTGGATTCCCACGTAGTCGACTGTGGTTCGCGTCCCGGACCCAGTGGCTTAAAACTCACTCTTGGTGCGTGTGCATGCGTGCCCAAGGTCCCGAGAGGAGAATGGAGGAGAAGGGATTGTGGCGTGACCATCCCCCCTGGGGGGTGATTTCTTGCTTTCTGTCTCTATGTCTCTCTCTGTCTGTCTGGCGAGCGCACGCACCCTATAGTGAAAACCTCTCCCCCCAAAAAAATAAATAAATAAAATTAAAAAATAGAAAAGTATCACTGAATTAAACCTTTAAGATCTATAAGTTACACAGCTATAAAAGGGTTTAAAAACATACGTCTAAGGAAGATGAAAATACTAATGGGGTTTAGGAAAGCTGTGTTTCCTGCCAGTCTTCCGAGAGCTTTTGGGTGCGGGGTATAAACGCAGCGAAGCCTCGAGCAGGGTGTTGAGGCCAACGGCACCTAAAAATGTGCCCGGCGCCTGAAGATGCCCCGCTGCGGTCAGGATGGCGCGGTGGTTCTGGCCCCCGGGCTCACGCTCTGCGTTTTCCCCTTGTAGTACCTGGGCTGCATTGAGGTTCTCCGCTCCATGAGGTCTCTGGACTTCAGCACAAGAACACAAATCACCAGGTAAGTCCTCCCGAAAACGGCTCCTGTGATGACCCTGCAGAGACAGAGGACCTCAGAGGTCCAAGCCTAGGGATGTGCAGAGGGAAGGATTGCCCTTGGGTGTGCCGGGGCTGGTGACAGGGCGTCAGGAGGCCCTGCGCCTCAGACCCTCGCTGGCTGGTCCGTGCTGGTGGTCGGTGTCTCTTTTTTTAAAAAAAATTTTTTTTTTTTATTATCATCATAATCTTTATATTACATTGGATTACATATAACTTTACAGTGTATTACATTGCTTTTTCAAAAGGGAATGCCATGCATGTCAGTCAGTACAAAGACATTAATCTCCCTGCTTCAACATTCAATATCTTTTCTATGTTTTCCCAATCATTATTATTATTATTATTAGAATTATTTTTTAAAACAGTCAATCGCTATTTCTCATTTTGCTTGTAAAAATACTTTGCCCATCATGAAATACTTCTCAGACCAATCCAGTTGAGAATACTATACATGTCATCATCAACAGTTAATAAGCTATATCTGTTTCTCACTAACGTCCTGCCTCTCTATTGTTCACTTGCTATCTTTCTCTATCCTCTTCTGGTCGGTGTCTCTTGACGAGAACACCTGGAGGGTGCCTCTGCCTTGCGGGCCTGTTTCACGTTGACGGTGCAGACAGGCTGTGTGCCACGTGTTTCTCATTGCTTCTTTAACGGGTGAAATGCTAATGTGAAGTTGGTATTGGGAATTTTACTGAACTGTGTTCTTTTTAAGAAAGAAATCGATGTTAATATCTTCAGCTGGGTGATGTACAGTGTACTCATGCTGGGAAAACTCATTTCGCAAGCTGTAATAATATACAGTGTGATTGAATGTATTAAAAAGATAATAATAAAAAAGAGAGAAATCGAGAGTCCAACATATACACGCAGCGACATGCCAGGGCTGGAAGCAGCCGCACTCAGGGAGGAGGTCATCCTGAAGCAGACGGACTCTGGCAGTGTAGACGGTCGGCATGGACTTCACATCTTTCCCACCACCAGCTGGTGTCTACACTTCCTGAGGGCCAGTGTCGAAGCACCATTTTTTTGGTAAAATTTCATACTCTGATCTAGTCCTAGCAAAATTGACACTTGTTTTCGAAAAGGCTATTGCAAGTCATCTTGAAGAGAACTGGAAAACGAGGCGGGTCTGTGGAATGGCTCCGTTTTTATGGACAAGGAGCTTATGTTGCTGTGGCACGTGTGGAATTGCGAAATCCAAAGAGTCTCAGAAAATGCCTTGTTTACTTCATTCAGATCACTCGATTGTGTATTTTTGGGTTAGCAAGCCCAAGTGTAAAGATGAACCTTTAGAAAGCAATAAAGTCATGCCGCGCCTGAATTCCGTTTAAAATTCCGAATGATCCGTCTTCTTCCTCTCTAGAGAAACTCGTGATCAAAGGAGCTGATGTTTCTCTTCTCTGGATTCACTGGTGGGCACGCCCCCACGTCAGTGTCTGCACCGGGGAAGGAACCGCCTCCACACGTTTGTAGAAATAATTCCGAGGCCTTCCAAGGCAAAGCAGTGGCTTCTTGAAGTGAGAACACTGAGAAGTGTGAGCGCCCCTCAGTGAGTCGTTGGTCTAGTGAAGAAGCACCACAGGGCCTCTTTGTGGGCAGAACCTTTTGCGGGGACCTGGAGGCCCGTGAAGCAGAATGACACCTGGCGTTCTCGCCATGGTGGCAGTCCTTTTAAAGGTCAATGGCAGTCCTTTTAAAGGTCAATGGGGCGGTGTTGCCACACTGGCGACCACTTCCGTAACGCTCCTTCTGATGCTAGGAATCTATTTCGGAGCTGGCTCTGCCGTGCCACTGCCCCGATGTTCTCACTGGCACCGGCTGCTGGCTGTGCCCCTGCCTCAAGTGGGGCCAACGTTCCAGGTGCTCGTGGTCTGCAGACAGGGTGCCGGCACGCAGATCGGGGGACGGTGCGGTGGGTTCAGGGCAAGTGCGTCATTCCAGCCTTTTCTGTGCTGAGAGTGTATGATTGTTGGGAAAGGGGGGGGGGAGAGGCAAAAAAGAGAGCAGCGGG